ACCTTTTCATACTAATTATTAGGCCATTATATGTAACTGTACACACCAAATTGTTGACAATTTTTTCTGTTTTTTTTTTCAATCATGACAAGGAGCACATGGCAGATGTGACCGGTTGACAAGGGATACTCACTTCTCCATGGTACCTGATCCCACCTTTGATGTTATGATGTTTTGGAGGTCTGTGTTTGCTCTGCTCCTATTTTGTATTATCTAATGGACATTTGAGCTTGAATACTGTTAGTTATCTCCATATACCGGTATTACATTCAAAATGGGAAGAAAAATCATACTTTTGTCATCAACTCCACATTCAGATATTGTGACGAAGATTTATGTACATCAACATAAGTCTCGGAATATCCCAGTTAAATTGAAACGAAAGAGTCCGCTACATCTGTATTATACGAGGGGTGATCAAAAAGTTCGCAAACTAATTCTCTATCTACCTAACTACAGTTCTGACAAGAATGAAATAGTTGTCACAAATATAGCCCTAAACATGTGCTTTATGCAGTTTGAGTCATGTTGAAATCAATGTGCGTCATAATTATGACGTCATGATGTTAAAATGACGTCAATATAGAGGCGACTGTGACGAAAATGAGTCAATGGTACTTGAACAAAGAACTATAATAAAATTTTATGTAAAACTAGGTAAATCCTTTACGGAAATATACGATGATTTACATAAAGTTTATGGGGAATGTGGGCTTTCAAAAGGTACAATAAGTAAGTGGATGAAACGTTTTGTTGAGGGAAGGGAGACGGTGAAAGATGATGATAGATCTAGGTGCCCGCTGAACGTAAGTACCGAGATAAACGTGTCTGAGGTTGAACAATATGTAATGAAAGATCGAAGAGTTACGATTAGGGAAATAGATAATGATTTTGGCATGTCTTATGGAACATTCTCTTAACGCTTAACATCCTTCTGCCAGAGCAAATGAGGGTGAGAGTGAATGCGTGCCGGTCCTACGTTAGTAGATATGAAAGAACAAAATTATTTCATGAATAGAATTATCCCATGTGATGAAACTTGGGTAAATTTCTATGAGCCAGAAAGCAAACAACAAAAGTTCAATTTGGAAGCATCCTTCCTCGCCAACACCAATAAAAACACGCGTAACCAAGTCAGCAGGGAAGGTTATGCTCATAGTTTTCTGTGACATCAACGGTATAATTCTAAATCACATGGTACCACCCAAAACGTCAGTTACTTGGGACTACTATGCACGGGTTATCAAATCAGATTTGATGAGAGCAGTAAAGAGAAAGCGCCCAGATCTGATAAGATCTAGATCTGGATTCATTCAGCACCATGATAACGCACCTAGCCATAAAAGTCGGGTTGTGATGGACACCATGGAAACATTGGGTATAGAAAACCTAATTCATCCCCCCACAGCCCAGATTTGGCAATTTGTGACTTCTGGCTATTTCCAGTTTTGAAAGATAACCTACGGGGAGAAAAATATGAATCCCAGGAAGATCTTGGTACTGCTGTGAACACGGTGCTAAGGGTCATGTCACGTGATGGCTTGGATCACGTGTTTTGCGCATGGGCAGACCGATGGGAAAAGTGCATAAAATCTAGAGGGGCCTACTTTGAAAAAGAATAAACTCAAAATCTAACTTTGAAAAATATTTTAAAAGTTATTCAATTAGTTTGCGAACTTTTTGATCACCCCTCGTATTTGGATAATATGCCAATAGCCAACTTTCAACTAAACTGTATGACACAAAAGATCTCCTCAACTTTTCATCTATCAATTATTTCCTCTACATTGATCAGTAAAAGGTACAATGACCTAACAATTAAATTTGAATGTATGAAAGACCTTTATCAACATTCGATTTAACGACGTACTCGTATTTGTAAGCGTAGTCATTTTATCGAATTTGCGTAATGTTTACCCCATGTGAGATTACCATTATGACAGTAGTCTGCATCTTTTGTAGTTGCTCCTACAAAAAACATGTTCTTGTGTATCGAATCAGCTGAGAGACGTACGCCACATGTGCAAGGGAGAATGATATACTAGTATTGTAATATACAAACTAGAGGTACTGTGAGCAATGAGCTCAAAAAAACCCCGCCTCCCATATGAATATAATAGCAGTGTCCAGGTTTTGCTCTGGAAAATCCAAAATATACGTCAGATTAAAAAGGAAAATAGGAGGTGCACAATGGCAATATGTAATAAAGATTCTGTGAAAGTTTCATTAAATTTCCTACATTGGTATGAAGTTGTGAATAAGAGATGGGTACCCCAATACGTAACAGACGTACCACCTCTGTCCGTCCGTCTGTAACGCTTTGGGGTACCCATCTCTTATCCGCAACTCCTCTCATACCACTGAATGAAATTTGATGAAACTTTCACAGAATCTTTATTACATATTGCCATTGTGCCCACGGAGATGGGATCAGGTGCCATGGAGGAGTGAGCATCCCTTGCCGACCGGTCACACCCGCCGTGTGCTCGTTGTCATGATCAGGAAATTACATATTGCCATTGTGCACCTCCTATTTTACTTTTTGATCCGACACATATTTTGGGTTTCCCGACCACAGCAAAACATGGACTTTGTCATCAGTTATAACCATATGGGAGGCGGGGGTTATCCTTTAGTAAGCTCATTGCTCACAGTATCTCTAGTTTAAATTGTTTATTGTTCTCTACATAAAACTAGAGGTACTGTGAGCAATGAGCTCACTAAATGATACCCCCGCTTCCCATAATGTCTATGTGTTGCTATATATTGTTTTATGGTAATGTGTAAACAGGAATAACTCGTCCTATCAAATGTTATCCAGAAGCTTCTATATGTGACGTCATAGGTAAAATGGCAATGTCCATGTTTTACTATGGGAAACCTTAAATACATGTCAAATAAAAAAGTAAAATAGGAGGTGCACAATGACAATATGTAATAAAGATTCTGTGAAAGTTTCATTAAATTTCACTCAGTAGTATAAGAGGAGTTGCAGATACACACACAGCGTAACAGACGGACGGAAATCCCGATTACTATATACCCTCCCACTTTTCAAGTGTGGGTATAAAAAGTTTTTGATAAATCTACAAATTCAACCACCAATACCGAACCAGTGTCACAGTGATAACAGTTTTCGGTCAAGAATTTTTGGGGTTTTTTTGTGGAATCGCTCATTAAAGTATATTTATGATAAATTCAAGCATACACTGTGCATGTAAATAAATAACTCTTCATGATATTAAACGAGTAGATTAGGGGTCCGTGTTTTTGTGGGTTCGGGTTGTTATACCCCCAGCTTGAAAAGTGGGAGGGTATATAGAAATCGGGATTTCCGTCCGTCCGTCTTTTACGCTTTATCTCTTATCCGCAACTCCTCTTATACTACTGAGTAGTAGTATTTTTTTCAGTCCCATTGAGTTCGAGATGACAAAGTTTGACTGTATTTTGTCCAAGTTCAAACTGAGGAATTACTTGAGATGTTGGTATGATAATGACCATGGCATATCTTCTTATTTGAAGCTTTGAATTATTCTGAGTTAATTTAAGAAACCTGCGTCCATGAAATAGACAAACCAATAAAATGAACTACGGTAGCTGCAGTGTTACAACGCACTTTGAAAAATTACGCACTTTGAAAATTTTTTTCAAAGTGCGTTAAATTTAAATGATTTCCAAGCTATAACGCACTTTGAAAAAAATATTTTTTTTCATAGTGCGTTGATATCGACCATATTGACGCACTTTGAAAAAAAAATGTAGATTGATCAATATTCTTACAAATAATTGGAATGATAGATGACAGATCCTGGATGGATGATTTTTTTATGATGAAGTCACTTCAGGACCTGAGAAGTTGACGTTTTAAATATTTGAGGTTTTGATAAAATAAAAGGGAAAGGGGTCTTGAAAAAAATAGTGACGATTGTTTAAGATCACTAATTCGTTTCTTTCTTTTCTTTAAATTCTAATTCTTTGATAAGTATAAGCTGTAAAGGGGACACCAACAGTGGACAGCTTAAAGCAACTTAGCATTTATCATAATAGAAAGGGGGCAATTTGATTGTTCAAAAAAATGAAAATTCTTTCTCTCTCATATGTTTTACTCTCTACTTCAATATTTCTAGTTTTCACTTGTATTAATTAACTCATTTAATATTGAAAGTTTTCAACCTTATACTAGTTAGTTAAATACATAATTATATAAATATTTTGAGTATAGCATAGACATCGAGACCGGGCAATAGGCCAGGGTAGGAGGTTTATTTACCCCCCTTATTCTGGAAAGATATATACATCGTATAAGCATTGAAAATGCAGCATACCCTTTTTCTCTATTTTTCCCCTCCCCCGTTTGTTACCAACACCTATGTATTCAAAAGATAAAGATTTGGATTGAGCTAGGATCTTATACCTGTCTTCTCCTTTTTTCGAACAAAGTTTATCAATTCATAAGTTTTTGAAAAATAAATAAATAAAACTTTCCATTACTAAAATATGATTTTTTTTTCAAAGTGCGTTAAGTGTCTCCATGGTAAAATATATTGATGTAGACTCTTAACGCACTTTGAAAAATTTTTTCAAAGTGCATTGAGTTTGTCCAAAATTTAACGCACTTTGAAAAATTTTTTCAAAGTGCGTTGATTTTGTCCCAAGGTTTAACGCACTTTGATTTTTTTTCAAAGTGCGTAATTTTTTCAAAGTGCGTTGCCACACTGCAGTAATAAGCTAAAAATATACAGTTTTTATGTGGGCAATAAACATACAGTTTATTTCAATGGGTGGTATCATGTAGCTCTCCGGTCTATCAATATATCTTTTTTTTTGGAGAGCTACAGATCTACAGCTATAAATGAACAAAATACAATTTTACACATTTTATTTTAAAATGAAAAGAATTATTAAAAGTTATGAAGAAATTTAAATGTAATGTAGAAATGATAGATCGTAACAGAAGTTAGTTTTAATATTGTCCAAGTCATGTTCAGCCGGTAATTATGAGTGAATATCTTTGATCCTCAGGTTCCACACAAACAGTCTCTTATTTTAAACCAAAGAATTTCCTCAACCTTCCCTGGAATGACTTCTTTTTTGTTGGAGTGGGCACCTGAATAATAAAAAATATTGTCATACATAAAAGTTAGTTGAATTTGATATATTTTGTAATATAATAATTTAGATATAAAAAAGTCAATATATTCATTGGATACAGTGAAATGCCTTGACATGTGGCATGATAGATGTTGCTTTTTCTTGTTTGTTTTTTTTATCAATCTAAATTCATCAAATTGATAGACATTGTATAAATACCTAAACTCAAATTACACATTCTACATACCTGTCCTACACTTGAGGTACACTGGACATTCTTAATATCCGTTTCTTTGTGGCATTGTGTAGTCTCAACACTCTAAAAAGGAAGAAGGTATTTTGTTGAATGAGCACTTTTAACAAATATTAAGCTATTCCATCTTTGCTCATAAAGATTTCTGATCCCCCTCTCCTTACAAACAATAGATTTATATTTGGAAAGAACAATACATAATTATCATCTCCCATAGATGGTACATACATGTAAATGTTGTCAATATGCATATTTTCATGGAATTCTTTTGAACAGAAAAAATTCTAAATGATTTCTAAACATCAACATATCAAAATCTGACCTGTGGAGAGTTTTTAAATGTGTCCACGTTGAATATGAAAAGCTTTCGAGGGACAAATAAATCTTCTTCCTCGTCCTCTGGGTTGGTGCCTTTGTTGAATTTCTATAAAATATGGAACCCTTTATTAAGGTACTTTGGAGAAATATTAGATTTTGTTTTGTTTGTTTCAAATTTTACAAACTATGAAAATTATTTAGTGTATAAGATTTTATCTTGGTCTTTCTTTATGTTATATTATCAATTAATTTCTGCTTCTATACTTCACATTTTTGGATGCCAAAAATATAGATAAAGGAAGTTTACATGAAGACTTACCATCAGCTCTTTATGAATAGCTTTCCAAATTGTCTTCCTTCTTTCTCTTCTCTCATTTCTACTCTTCAATTCTCTTGATGCTACTACCTGAAAATGAAAATTATAATCAAAACTAATTTACGGTTTAAATGTTTTTTAAAATTGGGAATAATCCCATTTTTAGTTTTCGTAATACTGGGTATTTGGCTTATCTACCTTCAGCTCTTTCAACATTTTCACCATTGCTTCTTTTTGTTTCATGTTCTGTATTCTCTCCATATTTTTCCTTGTCAAAACTGCCTATAAGAAAAATTTCAAAAAGATTAAAAGTAGACAAAACAAGACTGGACCATCAAACTTTAGAGAACATAAGCAAAAAGTACAAATATATGAAATGAGGATAAAATAGTTTACCATCAACTCTTGGTGCATCTCTTTCTGAATGGTATTCTTTCTTTCCTCTCTCACACTTCTTTTCTTAAGTTCCTTTGAAGCCACTACCTGAAAATCCAAATTTATTAAAACTTCTTAAAAGTTTACCTTTTTCAAAAAATATGAAATCCCCCACCCACCCAACCCATTTTTTTTTATCAGTTTCTGGAAAATTGCAACCAGTGATAGTTAAATTTGGCATATTTACCTGAAGGTCTTTTAACACCTCCGACATGATCTTTTGATGATAGAATTCTATTTTTTCTTGATTCCTGTTAACCAAAACTACCTGTATAAAATTAATTAAATGAAGACAAAATTCAATTTTTATATCATCGAAATTTAATTGCATATATACAAAAAAGTGTAGATTAGATACATGTGAAAGAGCATATATTTTTATAATTAAGAATTTACCTTTAATTCTTTGTGAATTGTCTTCCAAAATTTCCTTGATTTTTCTATGGCAAGAAATGTTTTCCTGAGCTTCACGATCTTTTTAGGGGCTTCCTTCTGTAATACAATTAGAATACATGTATTTATCAATCTACAAAGAAAAAAGTTAATATCATTTGACATCTTTTAAGAAGTTTACACAGTATGTACCATTAGTTCTTCCTGCATCTTCTCTTTAAGCTTTATTTGTGGCGCCATTGCTTTCAATTCTGAATCCATTCTGAATCCATCTGAATCCATCTTTAATAAGTTCTTCTATATAAACAAACAAATATTATTTTAATAAATGAAATAAATAAATACATTCATGAATGTTATCAAATTGATCTATTTTAAAAGGAGAGAGTGTGCATGCATGGGCTTTGTCATTGTAAATTTCACTGCATGGATTTCAATAAATAATATATTTAAAAATGTATTCAAATAATCTTTCAAAATGTGCTCCTTTGTAAATTAAAATGGTAAGCACTGCATTACCTGTCGTTCTTCTTCTTCTTCAACAATCTCTACCCAACTTAAGAATTAACTAAAAACATGACTCCCACGAGGGAAGAAAACGGGATTTAATAAATATAGAATTTCTATAGTACATGCATTGCTGATAAATTTTTAAAGTTGCATAGGTAAAAATTTGATTTCGTAAAATCTTATCGCATTTAATTAGAAGAAAACAACAGCAACCAATTCGATTAATTATCAGTTTACATTTACAGATCGCCACACAAGGGAGATATTCCATGTACACTGTATGTATGTGAGCGGATCAAAGTATTTAGAGTTCGAATATTATTAATTATGAAATTTTTTCTCACTAGATCTTTAACTAAGTTAGATTTTAGTGTTACGGGGGAAAATGGCATACAAAAATAGCATTTCAATAACGGAAAAGGATTTACTCACAGATTGCACCTCTGTCGCTTTGTGTAAACAAAACTAGACTATGACGTCATAGGTCATCGTTAGAGACCTCAAACGTGACGTAACAATGTGTTTGTAAATGTATCATTTTGGTAGACACTCTAAATCAAAACTATACTTTCTTATAATTATATATACACATGTATTATGATAATACAATAATTCAAAAAAGTTCATCATTCCAAATACATGTTTTTTTTAGAATGAAAAGGTTTAACATTTAAAGAAAAAACTAATGAAAGGAAAACTGCCAGCGTGGGTCTTCTGTAAATTCAATTCGAAAATTGTTTAATTGTTTAAGTAATCAGATGTAAATAGATACGCAACGCACAAAGAATTACCAACTATTTTATCCTTACATTCACTTTAAAAATGATTTTACTTAAAATACGTTAGGCTAAATAGTCTAAAGAATTTACCTGCACATCCACCACTATGTTGTCAACAAAACAGAGATGTATTATGACGTCATAATCACAATCAAAGGCCTTTTAATGTTCGAAAACATTTCGGTGATACTGATTTCAGGAATAAGAAGCATAATTTAGGAAATATTGTAAAAGTAATATTTGTCTTAATTTTTAAACATTTGATGTTTGTCAATCCCACAGGATTTTATGTAACATTTGCAAATCGGGAGCACATAAAAATTAAATGGAAATATGAAAAGGAAGAGGAATGTATAACACATTTATTAATGTATGCATATCCCATGATTTACTCTGCTTTAGATAATTAATCGAGCGAAGTTGAAGCGAGGTGAGGCGGATGACGAGAAACATATAGTGCATTTTAGATTAGAAAAATAGTAAAAAGATGACTCGAACCCAGATTAAAAAAAAATATCCCAAGTGCCTGTGGTGAAAACAACTGTGAAAATGACGTCTCCTGTTAAATTATGTGTAATGCTCGAGATATCGCCAACATATATCCAAAATATGCATAATAAAAACATGTAGTTAATCAGGTTACTTGTCTACAAATAGCAAATTGGAATTTTTTACCGTTATACCTCTGTACACAGCCACGTAGCATCGTTTTATCGTTTTTGAAAGGGGGGCAGCCATAGAAATTTTTTTTTACTAACTTAAAAAGTTGACATATAGAAAAAAGAAGAAAAAAGAAAAGAAAAATTTGCCCAATCTCTAAAATTTTATTTCGTGGGGAGGGGGAGGGGTGTAGAGGCCATGTTTCTTCAATGCCAGCTTTTTTCAGTACCAACTTTTTCGTACTTTAGACTACATTTCCATCATATCAGTTTCCTTTAGTATAAAGTGGGGGGTCAACCAAACCTTCACTTAACATTTCAAATAGTAAAAGTACTGTTGGGAAAAGGGGGATGGGGGGCAGGCCTCCATTGGCTCCCCCTGTTGCTACGTGCACCCCCCCCCCCCCCCCCCGGATTGTTTAAAACGTGATAGAGATTGACCAATGCCATACTACATGTATATCTCAAAAATACCTAGCTGCAGAAATGTGGCTCTCCGAAAAATATATTGATAGAGCGGAGAGTCTCCGGTCTGTCAAACTATTTTTTCGGAGAGATACATATTTGCAGCTAATAAATACTTACGGTTTTTGGTTTAAAATTAAAAAGAAGAATATTCTTTTTTTGTTTTATAGATTTTAAGCTTGACAAGAAATGGTGTATAAATGTTTAGGAGATAGACTGTACAGGAACTCTAGGAAAAATGCTTAGAAAATGAAAGCTCATATTTTAGTATCCTCGAATATTTTGCTGACTTAAAGATATGTCCAAATAAATCACCCAAAATTGATATAAATTTTCAAAATTCTGATATGAAATTTCGCAGATCATATAAGTAAAGATTCTTTTATATTATGGGTGACATTTTGCCCGATTATGTCGTCTTTTCCGTGCAACAAGTCCGGGTAATTTTTGAATGGTCCTCGTATAAATAAACGAACAGTATTTAAACACGGACCTCCAGAACATCATAGGTGGGATCAGGTGCCATGGAGTAGTGTGCACCCCCTGTTGACCGGTCACTTCCGCCGTGTGCTCCTTATCATGATCGGGAAATAAAGGAAAATCCGTCTCAGTGTATGAATAATGGACTACATGTAACAATTAGTATGAAACACGTCAGTCAGCATTTGACTCAATGATAAATGTATTTGCTGACAAGGTCATTGTATAACAAAATGATGACTTCAAACGAGACTGTTGATATTCTTGTTTCATCCACTTGCTTGTCAATAATTAACCTCGTTTTAGAAATTGTTCTTACGAAGAGCATGCTCTTGCGTATCGAATCAACTGAGATATATACACTCCGTATGCAGGCGATGAAGGTACCCGGGGTATATTGCTGCATAAGAAAGGGAAGTTGACGATAGAAATGTTAAAGTCTTCACGTTTATGCTTGGTTGTTGGATTACCATTAACGTGTTTTTCAAGTAAAATATTCAAGTATGAAACATATGTGTCAGACTCTGTGGTATCTTTATCTCAAGCTCACCAGGATATATCGTATCAACGTAGGAATGGAAATGACCATTGTTAATTGACAATACGTCGTCGATATACAAAAGTAAGTCTGCTAATAACGGAGCGCAATGGTACCCATGGGAATATGACTAATTTATTCGACAATATATCAATATTTAGGATTAGGAATTTGGAAACTTAGTATTTATTAGTTATCCAGGTTCAATCAAGGGTGTTCAGGGATTAACCCTGGGTTTTATTCCATAGACCCTGAGGCCGAAGGGTGTATGGTATACAACCTGTGGTTAATCCCCGTACATCCTTGATTGGACCTGGATGACGAATCTAATAAACTCCCTGTTTGAAAAGCGGAAAGGTATATAGTAATCAGGATGTCCGTCCGTCCGTCTGTACGTCCGTCTGTCTGTTAAGCATTGGGGTACCCATCTCTTATACACAACTCCTCTTTTACCACTGAATGAAATTTAATGAGACTTTCACAGAATCTTTGTTATATTTTGCCATTGTGCACCTTCTATTTTACTTTTTGACCGGACACATATTTTGGGTTTTCCAGAGCAAAACACTGACACTGGCATTTTTTCTATGATGTTGAAGGGTACCCATCTCTTAACCGCAACTCCTCCTATACCACTAAATAAAATCTAAAAATACTTTCACAGATTTTTTATTATATAATGCCATTGTGCACCTCCTATTTTACTTTTTGATCTGACACTTATTTCGGGTCTCCATGAGCAGAATAGGGACTTTGTCATTATAATCAAATGGACGGCGTGGGGTATCATTTAATGAGCTCTTTGCTCGAACTACCTCTAGATTAACTAACAACTCTGTCCCATTTAATGACTTTTTTGTTTGTTTAGTGTCCCTTCGAGCTTTTCCCACTCACATTGAGACGCCAACAATTGCCGACAGAGAGCTGCTAAGGAATAATTAGGTGTTCAAGCAGTGAGAGATGGGTTTTTTGGTTTCTCATATTTTACTTAAGCATTGTGTGTTTTAATTTAAATTTGGGATTTTTTTTTCAGACTGAGGAAAATCCGCTGCAGTCGGCTCTTATGATTCTATTTAAATTGTTCATTGTTCTCTACATAAAAAAAGTTTATGATAAATCTACAAATTCAACCACCAATACCGAACCAGTGTCACAGTGATAACAGTTTTCGGTCAAGATTTTTTGGAGTTTTTTTTAATACCCCCCGCTTGTAAAAGTGGGAGGGCATATAGTAATCGGTATGTTCGTCCGTCCGTCCGTTTGTAACGCTTTAGGGTACCCATTTTTTTCATCAAAAAGTAATAGGAGGTGCACACTGGCATTATGTTATAAAGATTCTGTGAAAGTCTCATCAAATTTCTTTCCGTGGTATTAAGAAGAGTTGCGGATAAGAAATAGGTACCCCAAAGCGTAACAGACAAGCGTATTTTTTTTTTTTGCAATCAGCCTAAAATAAAAATTAGAGACCTTCCACTTTTTTAGACTGCTACCTGGTGCAAATTTGTTCTTTTTGAACCGAACATATTTCAGTAAATGTATTTGTTTTGTATTGTTATACCCCCGCTTGAAAAGTGGGAGAGTATAGAGTGATCGAGAAGTCCGTTCGTCTGTCTGTACGCCCGTCCGTTACGCTTTGGGGTAGCCTTAATTTATCCGTAACTCCTTTAATAACCACTAAATGAAATTCAATGCGAATTTCACAGAACCTGTTATATATAGTGCCATTGTGCACCTCTTATTTTACTTTTTGATCGGACACATAATTCGGGCTTCCCATAGCAAAACATTGACATTTCCATTCTTTTTATGATATTGAAGGGCATCCATCCTTTATCCGCAACTCCTCCTGTACCACTGAATGATATTTTCACAGATTCTTTATAATGCCATTGTGCACCTCCTACTTCACTTTTTGATCTGACACTTATTTCGTGTCTCCCAGCGCAAAGCATGGACTTTGCCATTATTATCATTTGTGTTTGCTTGTTTGTTTGTTGTTGTTTTGTTTTTGTTTGTTTGTTTGTTTGTTTTGTTTTTCTGTTAATTTAAATTTTTGGTAATGATTTATATACTTAAATTTAAGAATTATTAAAATTTAAAGCAGGTATTGCCTGATTTGATAGCCCCTGTTGGAGAGTTCCTCAGCTACATTTGCAAGGAGCTGTGAAGTAGGGAATTAAAGGACACTCAAGTCATTCTTGATGGTCCAATACTAAGTTCAATAAAGTTTAGTTCGGACCGAGGACATCTGACTGCGAGCAGGCTTAACATAGACTGTTATAAATCATATCTGTAACTTCCTCCTAGGTTTATCCACCTGCACGCCCAGGCAATAAGCATTTCATTGACAACCTTACGTAGTTTTGTTAGTACACGTTTTATCTGAGGATTAAAATAAATTGAACAGATATATATTCCTTTACCTGGGCTTATCAGTAAATTCACATGTTATCATGAATATTCATAAGGTGTGCGGGAAATGTTCAATTCACTGGCAATCCCACTTAAAGATTGCACTACTGTACAGGACGGACGACTGCAAAGGCTGAATTAGTCAAACGATAAGGACCAAAAAACGCTTATAGCCGAGGATCTGCCATTTGTTATGTAATCACAAATATGGACGACAAATACCACCGAGCCGCCAAAGATGGCTACGAGGACATCCTACGAAATGCCACAAAGAGGGACCTAAATTCATCGGATGAAGATGGGATGACGCCTACCTTGTACGCGGCAGCCTTTGGGAATCTGCACGCGCTAAGAATGATCGTAGGAAGAAGGTACGTTTAGATGACGCAGAATAACGCTCAAAACTCTATATTACCAATTTTAACTTTAAGGAAAAAGAAATTTGTCATATTCTTGAAAGTGAAAGATGAGTTGAACCTAACATCAATATCTAGTCGCGTGGTATCTGTCGTGTTATTTATATATACGTCAAGATACGAGGGGTGTTAGAAAAGTTCGCGGACAAGTTCTATTGTGAGCCCGCTATTTCCACGAAACCGGTCAAACTTTTCAGATATAATCTTGAGCTTTTTTCCAATAAATATTCAAGAATTTGGTGCTTTCCGGTATTTATTGAAAAATATACGGCATTTTTATTTTGATAAATCTTGCCTCACGGAGCATATACATTTTGGCACGTTTATATCACAAAGACTCTTTATTAAAATTAAAAATTGCACAATTGTGGTGCCAAGAGATTCATGATATTTTACTTGCCGCTAAAGTATGCAGGAAACGTCACTGGGAGAAATTTTGAACTAAATTGGAGGGTATATGACTGTTTTATAGCCGTTTATAAATGATCAACGCGTAAAAACATAGCCAAAAATTGGAACGTTATTGAGCGTCATGGAGCACTGCACTACCTAAAAATTATGTATGCAGACAGGAAAATGTCTAAAAATAGATTAAAATGTTCAAGATGCTGCCAAGAATATCCTACACATACAAAGAACAAGTTTTCAAATGGTTGTAGCTTCATAAGAATGGAAGGAGTAACATTTTGAATGATTAACTCCATCGATACTTCAATACCCCCCTATCGCATGGACGTTGTGTTGCGCTTTCATGGTTTTGCATAGTTTCCATACCTGATCGATTGATTGCATAGACTTTTTTTATTTTTTAAGATCTCAATACTATCCGAAACAGTACAAAAGACATTATAGTAGAAAAGTAATATGTCTTGATATAGATAATCAATTTTAAAGTATAAAAAAGATAAGAAAATTCTGAAGAAATAAAAGATTTATAGAACTGCGACAAAGCTTAAAGAGTTGAAAGCTGGTTCTCACGTCGCTTACGTCAAGTGATTGCTTCGTGAATCCCATAACCCCATAGTAAAAATAGTTGTAAAATTTTAAGATTTTATTATATGGACCTGATTTTTTACATACCAATAAACAAAATGTAGGAATTCATTCAGTCATAGGTCATACTTCACAGTACACAATAGATTTTCTGTAATTCAATGTGTCCGCGAACTTTTCTAACAACCCTCGTATAATCCTAAGATAATTCATTGAGATCGTTCGAAGTCCTAAGTATCATTTTTTTTTCTGGAGATGTCAGCTCTCTGAACTTGAAACCTAATGAGTAATTTTATAATCGAAATATTTTTAAAATAATAACAATAATATATAATCTTGTTTTAAACTTTTCAAATCCTATTTAAATTCGCGAACGATATTTAAGTTCTGAATTTGAACAAGAATAATGCAACATGGTCGTGTTTTATCCAGGTGTCGTGTTGACTCAAGATAAATTTCATACGTTATCAACGAAAAATCAATATGTACAGAAATATTTGGTTGATCGTGCCAAGGCGCGAATAACCTGTCGCCAAAGTTTTTCCTCAAATATAGAAGACAGCTCACCATGTTTCTTATACATTTGTAACATTCAACCTCTGACTAAAACAAAATTTATGGCTGCAAATATATTGTAGGTATATATTCCTGCCTATAAGTATTTGCTGGTTACGTGTTTTGTACTAAAAAATGTTGCTTTAAAATTTATAACCGAAAATAAGGATGTAAAAAATCCAGAAAAAGTTTTATATATATTTGGCAAAGTCTATTGCTGACTTTTTATGACAGTATATCAGAAACAAGAAGTCTTTTAATCAGATTTTTTCTTTCCCTTGTTAATGTAGCAGCAACAACAAAAAATCAAGTTTTTTGAAATGTCAAATACACTTCTCTTATTCTGTTTGACGAAAATGGTCATTGGTTTTATTGGAATAAGAGGGGTTTGAAGTTGGTCGATTGATTCAATGAGTTTATTTTTTATCGGAACTGCTATTCGTGTTTTCATGAAAACATGTTTATGGCAAAGGTTTCTTAAGAATACTGGACAATTCTCTCTTCGAGTGATGGCAAACTACTGGTTTTCTTTCCTTGACAAAATAAAAGATAGCATTCACTAAATTATCGGGAAAGATTTTCCGAGTTTCTCCTATCACTTATTGAATTCTTTCAAGTACAGTGTATTTGTAGGCTGAAAGGGTTCAAAAGTCGGAACTACCTTTCTGTCCTCACCGATACCTGGAAACCGGTGATCTTAACGTATATAATAAATCAAAAGATTTATCGTTTTACTCGTAGATAGATTATATAATCGAATATATGGGTTACATGCCCTATTAACCAGAGTTGATAACGTGACTACCAATACAGGAATTATAAAAATGAAGATAATCAGAAAGCAGAAATTGATATGTAATTTCTGCAAGAACTGAACGAAAAGTTTCAATACTACATATGTTTTCTGAAAATTTTAATTGACACAAGTTAAAACTTGAGACGATGAAAAAGCTGAAGTTATCTTTTTTGTCCTATTTATAAAAAGAGTTTTGAAAGCTGTGGTTTGGCCTTAATTGTCCATAATCAAGAAATTATCTAAATATGAAAGAGATGTGACAGATTCTGTGGTATCTATTTTTTCCTGTTCACTGGGATATATTTAGTCAACATAGAGCAAAATTTTGTTGATTGCTAAGACTTAATCGATATGCTTATATCTGAATATAGTTTTGAAGACCCAAGCAATTATCTTCTTCTCATACAGAAGTTTTTTTTTTTAAATCTTTAGAGGAACATAAAAACAGTTCGGCTAATATAAAGAGCACAAATAGAGGCCATTGGAATTCCAACTTGATGGAATTGATTATCTATAAACTCCGAAGACTACATAGATATTTTAATGATGAAGTCCAAATTCCTTTTAATATCAAATTCAAAGTTAAAACGCCAATTAAGAAAACACATTCTTTATTCAAATCTACTTCATAAAGAATAAATAGCATATGCAAAATAAGAAAAAACAATTTTTTAAATGCATTATGGAGATATCAATGTAATATGTAAATATTTTTATTGCTGAACATTTACAATTTGTTATATTTGGTAATTCATTTGCTTCAGATTTAAGTTTAAAATATTTTTAATATTTTCTTGAGACGTCGATAGAGATTTATATACAGGGTGTCCCAAAACATATGTTACACTTTTAATCATCTATAACTTTATCAAACCACAAGCATTCACACATATATTTCGTCAACATCTAGTTTATTAGCATACATTTCATCTGACAAACTTTCATGAAATTCTGTTAAAAATTCAGGTAATTATTATGTCCAAAAGACGTCATCATATATTTAATATGAAACCTTCATGTGAACAGCTGATAGAAATTGTCGAACATTTCATATGGGTGTAAATCTGCTACTTTAGACATTAGAACCATGAGAAAACAACATCCTGCAATGAAAGTGCCCAAAAGAAAGCTAATTTACAGATTTGTTAGGAAGTTTGATGTTAAAGGCACCATAAATGTACACATGACTTAATTCTGGTTTTAGAGGACCAAGGAGTGCCTGTGCCAAGAGAACATTAATACCATTAATAGAGTTACTACTCTCCTGAAACTTTATTTTAAAAAATCCCTTAGACGGGTCCTATATGAACAAGATAGCACCTTTGGTAAATCTAGCGTTCTTACAATACGCAAATTCAATCTAAAACTGATTTGTCATAAGATAATTGCAATGCAGCATTTAAAAGAGACAGAAATTAGCAGTTATTTAGAGTTGGACCATTGGATTTTAATTAGACCCGAATCTGAAAATTTAACATATGCATCATTTTCTGATGAAGCCCAACTTCCATTTAAACAATGTGGTTAAAGAGAATCCTTAATTCTAGTGTTTGGTGAAACCCAATTTTAATGTTGAAAAAGAAAAACCTCTAAACTGTTAGAATGTTACATTTAAAACTTGGTAAAAAAAACTTCAGAAATCGTGTTCAAACAATGTTAATTCCAAGGGACATAAATTTGGAACATGCTGTAAAATGACTTATGTTATTTAAAGAAAAAATATTGATGATTAATAAGGAAACTGTAAAAAAATGTATGCTTGACAAAAAAAAATTATAATAATTTTAGTATACATTCTAAATTTCATTAATGTTACTTGAGGCATTAAATTTTTATAATGGTTTAAAAGTGTAAGATATGTTTTGGGACACCCTGTATATTAACGGACAACTAAGACTATTAAAAGCATAATTAGGAGGTTCCTATAGAAATATGTAACTATGACTATAAAAGGCATAATTATGAGGTTCCTATAGAAATATGTTAACTTGGCATTAAAAATATATTTGTAAAATTACAAGCACATCTCTGTTACATTCTATTTGTTATATCAATGTTGACTCAAATCCATTGAATTGATTACAGTGGTGATCCGGACAAATGTGACCTGCAAGGGTTTACAGCCCTCCATCACGCAGCAAAGAACGGCCACTTAAACACCGTGTCATTTCTCGTGAATTTTGGCTGTAACCTCTGGGCACTGGACAATGAACATCATTCTGCAATGGATATCGCCGTGAACGAAGACAAATATGATATAATTGCATTTCTTGATGATGCACAATCAAAGCAACAGCAGAAAAACCCGAAGGTCGTTCAACATATGCGTGAAAAGGCGACCAGAGATGCGGAACAAAATGTAAAACGAATGGAAAGAAGACAAAAGGAAGCAGCCAAATACGCCGAGAAAGAACAACGGAGAATTCAGGAAGAGCTCAGTCCTGACTTTAAACCGCCAAGCAAAAACCCATTCAAAACTCTGACTATGAGGCTAAAGCCCAAAAAGAAAGGTCCAGCAATACCAAATGGCAATACCACATTCTCACAGATTGCACAGCCTAGTAGGCGGGGAGTAGGTGGTGCACAAAAGCGAATCATGCAACATCAAAGTAGCCAGAACACTGGTACAGTTAGTGATTTTAAAACCAGTGAAAATATTGACGGAAAACGAACTCTGCGCTCCTTAGCCGGAACAGCAGGTGTGCGAAAAGGTTCTGATATCATGTACGTGACAAATCGTGAAAATGATCCTTCTGCCAGAAAGCCTTTGTCTAATGTGTTTCCAGGAATGAATGGCGTGTCGTCATACGGCTCTAAAAGTAAAAGTGAGTCGGACTTGTTAGATTCTGGAGTAGACAGCAATGATTCGATAGGATACGAAGACGAAGAAGAAAAACCAGGAATGTTCTCTCGACCGCAGTTTGGAAAAATCTCTTTCTTAAGAAATATTGGAGTTACTGGCACGTTAAATGCAATGGGTCGTTCTGCTTCCGCAGATTTCTTAGATGATCAGGGTTTTGATGATGAGTTAAACGGATTAAAATCAAATCGTGAAAGCGGAAGTTCAGATAGTCTTGGGAAAAATGACGTCATGGAAGCAGGTCCAAATGTGCCGTGGAACCCGGATGAAGTGTGCTCTGATGATGAAGAAGAGGACACACAGTTTTCAGATTTAATCCGTTTCTTGGCCTCGTGTGAATTGAGCCATTACACTTACGTATTCACAGATCAAGACGTGGACCTACAATCTTTAATGACTCTGGCGGAAGACGACCTTGAGAAGCTTGGTTTGAAACTTGGACCGAGGAGGAAGCTGCAGGCAGCCATCAAAATCAGGAAGGAACGCCTGTCTACGCCATCAGCAATAACGGACTCCTACTTGTGAAATTCTTAGCTGTCGTTCTGTGCATATTTGAATACCACCCTGTGAATAATTTATTGGATTATAATGAGATGCTTTCAATGTGATAAACGTCATGCATTTATGATTCAAATGTAGTTCTATAAGCGGATTGTTAAAGTGTTTGTTTTTTTTTCTGCATTTATTTCGATCCTTCAGTCCAGTCCGACTCTTGTTCACATCATTGTGTTTGTAATTCATCCAGTAAAGAATAGTTTTTTTTGAATGTGCTCATATGATTGTATTCAATAATTTTTATTCTTAATCCTTAATCAGATTTGGATACCACATCAAAGATAAAGTAGTAACCGAATTACATTTTATGAATAATTACTAGTATTCTATTAAATCGGTTTGTACAACATTGAATCTAAATAAAATAAAACAGTATTATACTAATCTTAATTTGATGAAATCAATCAGGAAAGTCCGTAATATTGAACAAAAGTATATGTAATCTAAAGAGGATTAATTTTTTTTAATGCAAGGCCAGCTAAAATGTAGATAACTACCCCATATACAAAACAAGTTACCCCGTATACAAAACATGTGCCTGTGTCGTAAGTGCTCGGTATAGGAAAAAATTTGCAGCTCTACACCGGCGAGTGGTGGTGTCTCCATATGGGTGAAAAATTCTCGAGAGGGATGTTAAACAACATAAAATCAATTAATCATCGCACTACCAACTACACACTTGTTGTGCGATATAGTGAACTATATGATCTTATCATTACGTATATAGATAGCAATAATTATTTTATTCACTGAGTTTTGTGGCATCTAAGGGTTTCAGACACAATTCATGAAAGTACGATATACCCCGGTATGATGCCATACGGTTCTTAAATGTTCTCGGTAAAAACCGTACTTGAATGATTTCTAATTGTGCAAATCATTTATCTCCATTAAAGAAAAGATTTAATGCTTCTATTTTTCGGGTAATTTATATAATTCTAATTTTAATGTGCTAAAATTAATGTTTAATTAGACGTCACCACTTCAAATTGGTCATTAAAAATTACTTGTCATACTGTGTATCTTTTACGAGGGCTGTTCAATACACTATGTCATTGGTGCTCTGAAAGAAACAACAAACGCTTTTCAATCATGTTGTCTTAATGATTTCCCATAGATATGCTCCTTTAGTTGAAACACGCGACTGTAACATTTATTTCTAATTATGTTCCCCAAACGAAGTTGGGGAACATATTGTTTTTACTCTGTTTCTTATTAAGGTCTTCCGTTTCCAACGGAAGACCTTATTGTTTTCGTTCGGTTTCTTTTTCCCTATTATTATTATTATTATTTTTTTTTTTTTCTTACCGATTTTGTGCAATTTCTCAGAAACGGCTTTCTCACCAAATTTTCAGATCTGATAGATATTTATCTGAACCTTGTCGGAAATTTTTCAAGTACGTCGTCACTTCCGGTCGTGAGATATGGACGATTTTCTGATTATTAGAGGGTCAGCTTGTCCTGAGATCTCCTCCTAAACGACTTAAGATATCGACTTGAGATTTTCAGTGAAGGTAGAGGAAGGATGGTAGATGTGACATTTTGCATATAGAGCTTTCCAGGTAAAAAGGCATCGACGCTCGCCTGGGATCGAAAAATAGCCTCATACTCATCTCGCAAAAATTGACACGTTTTCTTTTATATCTTTTTACCTGTTAATATTTTGTTAAGACATATATAATAAAAAATGTGCAATATAGTAAGACCTTTCATTTGATATCAAGTAAACGGGGTTAGTCCTTCAAATTAGGGGCATAGAGGGGCCAAAAGGTCTTTAACTTTTTTGTTTTTCAATATTTTCAAATGATATTAGTATAGTTGATAGAAACATTTCTTATTAGGCTGAATATATAATTCGTTTGTAAATTTATAAATTCAAACTCGAGATATTAACATTAAAAAATCTAAAGCGGGAACGAAATGGCGGTGGTCTCTGTCAATTCCGACATTTCGCAATTGCGGTTAACAGAGGCAGCCGAGCGTTTGCTTGAACGAAAGTAACATAAGGAGCAATGAAATGTGTAGGGATACTTGGATTGTCACGTCGTAGGTTCGTTGCAATTCTGTGTCAAACTACATTCATAATCCAAGGTCTCCTTACAAGTCTTCTTTAATTGGGTTTGGTTGTTTCTCAAAGTAGAAAAAAGAAAAGAATTAATGTGCAAATTAAGTACGCATTGATGATATTATCTAAATGAAAAGGATTTAATCAAAAGAGAAAAGGCATGATTCCATGATGTTTTATCAAAGATCATAGTCAAAGTCATATCTCATCTTATCGAAAATTCGGACGGAAGACCTACTCGTTGCTCGCAACGAGATCGCATCTAGTTATTATTATTATTATTTTTCTTCTTCCTGGGAAAATCTTTTCCGCGAATGATCTTGTAAACTACACGCCCGACTTAGGTGAAACCTTTTTAGGGTCAGTAGACATGTTATGTAGATTTGCGGAACGAAGGTCATTTTGCGCGCACGTGCTTGCAAGAGCGCGCACGTGCAACGCTTGAAATGACCAAAATAATAGATACAGCCGTAACTTTTCTATTTTCTGATTATATGCTTTGATATTCATAATATAAGTATATATTAGTAGTATAGACGTGTTGACATGGTCAAAATAGCAAGATCTCACGCGCATGCACGTGCGCTTCGCTCTGATTGGCTGAAACTAAAGTCTCAATATCTTTCTTGTTTTTCGTCATAATCCTTTGAAATTTTGAACTTAGTCACACAATATGAAGATCTACAGCATGATATATATTAATTTTCATGAAAGCATGTACATGCGCGTGTGCTGGCAAGAGCGCGCACGTGCAACATGTGAAATTACCAAGATAATGGATGAAGCCATAACTTTTCTATTTCTTGATGGAATTTTTTGAAACTCACAATGCATGAATATAGTAGTAGTATGGACAAGATGACATGGTCAAAATTACAAGATCTTGCGCGCTTGCACGTGCGCTTTGCTCTGATTGGCTGAAACTAAAGTCTCAAAATCTTTCTTGTTTTATGTCATTATCCTTTTAAATTTTGAACTTAGTCACATATTATGAAGATCTACCGTATGATATATAAGAATTATCACGAAAGCACATAAATCCACGTGTGCTGCAATCTGATCGGCTGAAACTTTACATGCCTATATCTTTCTTGTTTCTCAACAAAACAGGATGAAGTTTAGAATATGAATAGGTTTTATGGATTCCTACATGATATTGCTATCAAAATTGAATGCAAGGACGTGCTTGCATGCACATGCGCACATGCAATGCGTAAAATGAACAATATGTTTGAAAACGGTAAAATTTATATTTTTATGACTTTTCATTGATTTCTGGAATATAAAGATATGTTAATGGTTTAAACAACATGTCATGATCACCTTGCAAGTGCATGCACGTGCGTTTGCGAACAATGCGTTAAATGACAAAAAGTTGATATCATTGTAGCTTTTAAAATTCTTTTATGAAATCCTGCGATACTAAGCATATTGAAAAAAGTTTTAAAGGAAATTTGCACAAAAAGGGAGTTGGGGAGCGTTTGGGGAACATCTGTAACGGTCCCCGTTACAATTAGAACTAGTTATTATTATTATTTTTCTTCTTCCTGGGAAAATCTTTTCCGCGAATGATCTCGTAAACTACACATTTGATCAAGGTGAAACCTTTTTAGGGTCACTAGGCATGTTATGTAGATTTGCGGAATGAAGGTCATTTTGCGCGCACGTGCTTGCAAGAGCGCGCACGTGCAACACGTGAAATGACTAATATAATGGATACAGCCGTAACTTTTCTATTTTTTGATGAAATGTTTTGAAACCCAGAATATAAGGATATATAAGTAGTATAGACAAGATGACATGGTCAAAAACAGTAGGTACATGTAGAATGGCTTTAATAAATCAGTAATAAATTACCCGCTATTTGTATATACTTGGTATATATGTTCTTCTAAAACTCTTTGATTTTTACAACAAAAAAAAACCCCACTTTAATTGTTGTACAGAGTATACAGTAATTAATTATATTTCACAATTTTTTTCTGTCTTTATATTTAGAAAGAAAAAAAAAAGAATTCACAAATTTTTACAACCCAGTTGTATCTTGTTCATTGTTGTTGCCGAGGACTTTTTTTTGAAATATTTGGGAGCAATTTCTTTCACATTTGGAAAGATTTATCGTTATTCTGTATTAAAACAAGAAAGTTGACAGCTTGGCCTATGTGCATCGAGGGCCATGATTTTCGAATGAATTCTATAAGATTTTCAATTGAACAAATCTTTACACGAAGAAATATTTTAGTATTGTGAAAGTATGCTTTATATTACAAAGATAATTGATATTGAACAGAAGTCGTTTGCTTCTCCCAGCAATTTTCCATCAATGAAAGTAACTGTTTGTTTTAAATTTCACTGTGAAATATAAAACAACCAGTTACTTTCATTGGTGGAAAAATACTAAACAGTTATTACTAAGTACTACTAAATTATTATTGTATTGTATACAATAATTAAAATAAAAGATTTAATAAGTAAAAAAAAATATTCTAGGAATACTCAGTGATATACATTCATTATCAGTATTAACGTTACGACGAAAGGTTAAAAACGTGTTCACTCTGAAAACTTTTGACGTTTGACGTTAGTGCGAAAGTAACAGGACGTCATTATTTACCTGTTAAAGTATTAGTAATATAAATGAAGGAAAAACTTACTTAGAGTTGACGTAGGGTCATAAAAATTCATATTTGGTAACTTCTAACCTTGCTCTATTAAAATCCATGGAAAACTAAAAATGTGTAAAAATTGCCATAAGGACCTTTTCTCATGGGGCCAATCATATAGTTGAGATCATTGTAGCTTTTATAATTCTTTGATGAAATCCGTCGATACTGATCATATTTTAAAAATGTCTTACAGGAATTAGGCACAAAAGGGAGTTGGGGAGCGTTTGGGGAACATCTGTAACGGTCCCCGTTACAATTAGCACTAGTTCTTAATTGTTTTAGAACACATGTATTTAGTATGCCCCTTTGTATACTGGAATACGGCAGATCCTATGATTTACTGGACTTGATTCTTGTTTCTAAAAAATGTTGTTTTTTTTCAAGTTTGAAAAAGAAACAAGTCCAAGGGCGAAAGATCTTTAAATATTGTAGGTGTGACAAAACTTTCTTGTATATTCTGAGAACTCTTTTACTGTTCCTGAGTGCCGATTATAGGACAACATTTGTAGCTCTCCACCGATAAGTGGTGGCGTCTCACTGAAAAAAAAAAAACTAGTGAAAGTCACTGGGAAGACTAGTAAATTTACTGTCCATACAAACACTACCTCAAAAGTAATTTTACTAGGTTAAGGT